CTGTCAGGAACCTCTCAGTTCCATCGTCCTGTTTACTGTCATCCAGACACAGACACCGTCGTTCAGATGATTGTGAACTCTGTCCTGGCATGTCACGGTCATCCTTTCCGCTCTCACCTGAACTTCCTGGAACCTTGCTGGCTTGAGCCTGTTTCAAAGGCTGAGTGGAGATGGGGGTGAGCAGGACAGGGTGGGATGGGCCAGCCCAGGGTGCCCGACTTCTTCTCGGCCACCGTTACCTGGAGCTTCAATGACAGGAGACCTGCTTTCTTTTACTCATCCGAACGTGAGACCCAGTTGGCAACTGAAAAATTTCCCAATTATAAAAGTTTATAATGAATCAAATATAAGCACATGTCCACTGTATAAAAGAGAATATACTGCCAGGTGGATCTCTGTGAGTTCGAGGCCAGCCTGGTCTCCAAAGCGAGTTCCAGGAAAGGCGCAAAGCTATACAGAGAAACCCTGTCTCGAAAAAAAAAAAAAAAAAAACCAAAAAAAAAAAAAAAAAGAGAATATACTGTATTTTGGTGGGAAAGAAGCACTACTTCAAAAATAAAAATAAAGTCGGGTACGGTGGTACACGACCTTAAGGAGGCAGAGATGGGTGGATCTCTGAGTTTAAGGCTAGCTTGGTCTACATAGAGAGTTCCGGGCCAGCCAGGGTTACACAGTAAGACCTTGTTTCAAAACAAAACAAAGTAAAAACCAAAACAAATAAAACATACAGGGAGACAGAGACACACTTTATCATGGTCAGTTGATTTTTGGCAGAGGTGCCAAGGCTATTCGGTGAGGGAAAAGAGAGTCTCTTCAGTCCATGATGCCAGGACACTGAAGGTCCACAAAGAACCAAGCTGTGTCCTTACTTCATACCCTATACAAAACATTAACTCCAAGTCGATCAAAGACGTAAGTGTAAGAGCTGGCACCATGAAACTCCTAAAAGAAAAATAGATGTGAACCTTTGTGACCTTGCTTTTGGCGGCTGGATTCTTACACACAACACAACACTAAACAGCAAAACCAGAAACAAAACCAGGCACTTCACGAAAATGTAAAACTTTGGTTCATGCTGTTGCCCACCGTATGTTATGCCCAGGGCTCAATGCCCAGCCCCACAAAAGTAACAAGAACATTTTAAGACATTTGCATTTTCTTTATTGTTACTGTATTTCAAAACTTAAGTTTATTTTATATATTACTGTTGTGGAACTCTATGATGTAGCTTGAGTTTTCCTGCCTGGCCCACAGTCAGGACAAATCTCTCTCACCTGCCAGTCCCACAGCCGTCAGACCCGACCAAGTAAACACAGAGACTTATATTGCTTATAAACTGTATGGCCGTGGCAGGCTTCTTGCTAACTGTTCTTACAGCTTAAATTAATCCATTTCCATTAATCTATACCTTGCCACATGGCTCGTGGCTTACCGGCATCTTCACATGCGGCTTGTCATCATGGCGGCTGGCAGTGTCTCTCTCACCCAGCTTCCTGTTCTCTCAATTCTCCTCTCTGTTAGTTCCGCCTATACTTCCTGCCTGGCCACTGACCAATCAGTGATTTATTCATTGACCAATCAGCAACACATTTGACATACAGACCATCCCACAGCACTATGATGCGCATATGGTGGTACGCACGTTCTGTGGTACGTGTGTAGAGCTCAGAGGACAATTTTATGGAGTTGGTTCTCTCCTCCCATCTTTATGGGGGCGGCTGAGAATTGAACTCAGATCTTCAGGCTTGTGCAGAAAGTGCTTTACCCACCTCACCCGCCCTGTTATTGTTGTTGTGAGTGTGTGGGTGAATACATGTGGGAGAATGTCCACGCGTGCGTGCAAGCCTGAGGTCAGTTTCAATTTCAGGTGCTCAGGTGCTGTCAATCTTATTTTTTGGCACAGGGTCTTTCATTGGTTTGGGACGTAACAAGTGCTACTGCACCTGGCTTTTTTTTTTTTTTTTTTTTTTAATCTGGGCTCTGGGGATTGAACTTGGGTCCTCATGCTTGCATAGCAAACACTTTATTGAGTTATCTATCTAACCCATCCTCCCTTCCTTCCTACCGTCCTTACTTCCTTCCTTCCTTCCTTCCTTCCTCCCTCCCTTCTTTCTTTCCTTCCTTCCTTCTTCCTTCCTTCCTTCCTTCCTTCCTTCCTTCCTGTGGTAGGAACTGAACTTATGCAGTGGTTGGAAAGAAAATGGCCCCCATAGGATCATATGTGGGAATACTTGATCCCCAGCTAGTGGAACTGTTTAGGAAGGATTAGGGGGTGTGGCCTTGTTAGAGGAGGTGTGTCACAGGGAATGGGCTTTGGCGTTTCAAAAGCCCACGCCAGGCCCAGTCTTCTCTCTCTCTCTCTGCCTGCCACCTATGCTGTCAGAAGCAAAACTCTCACTACTCCAGTGCCACGCCTGTCTGCTTCTTGCTATGATGACTGGCCCTCTAAAGCTGTAAGCCAGCCCCCAGTTAAATGCTTTCTTTGATAAGAGCTGCCTTGGTCATGATGTCTCTTCACAGCAACAGAACAGTGACTAAGACAACCTCAGGCAAGCTAAGCAAACGCCAACCCTACTTATTAATAATTGATTAATGCCGTAGCATGCTTGTGGAGGTCAGAGGACAACTTCTGTGAGTCTTTTCGCTCCTTCTGCCTTTCCTTTGCTGCCTTGTACGCTCCAGGCTTGCCCACAGGCAGCCCCCACCCCCATCCATTCTCCAGTCTCTGCCTCCCAAGTGGCTGTGGGAGTAGGATTATAGATGTTTACAGATGTGCGTCACCATATCTGGCATTTGACATTGGTTTGGTTGGGGACTGAACTCAGATTGTCAAGCTTGGGTGACCAGTCCTTTTACCCCCACAGATCTGATGTAAAGACCCCTCCAATTTTGTGGGTAGACATAACTCCGAAGCAGATACAGATGGGCAGTAAGTAGGTGGACGGGGCTCTAGCATTAGCACTCATCAAAGAGCTGTGAGGGACTGCGGAAAGTGACGTCACACGTGTGTTCCTGAAGATACGGACAAACTGGAGAGTTCATCCACCACAAATAAGATCAGAAAGTGATGCAGCCACGTGGTCAGTGGCGCTTTGACAAGCTAACCATGCTTTATCAGGCAGTCTGACTCCTGCCTGCACCTGAGAGACACAAAGACGCGTGTCCACACACAAACCTGTGTGCCAGTGTGCCTAGCAGTGTTAATCCTACTAGCCCAAAGTGGGAACAGCCCATGTCGATCAGTTAATGAAGGGATGAGTAAAATGTGGTACGTGCAGACAGTGGGATAGTATTAACCACAAAAAAAATGAGATGCTGAGAAACAGTACAACGTAGAAGCATGTTAGAAACATTTTGCTAAGTGAAAAAAGCCAGTCACCAGGAACCCTTTCTGTGAAATGCCCAGAACAGAGCTGTTTAATCCCATTTATTTATTTAGTGGTTGTTTGTGGTGCTATGAATCAACCCCAGGGCCTCTCATATGCTGGGCAAGCACTTTACCACTGAGCTATATCCCCAACCTTTGGATTTTTAAAATATAATTGAATTTTTTAGATACTATTATTATTTTTTTTAAGATTTATTTTGTATACATTGTTCTGTCTGCATATATTCCTGTATGCCAGAAGAGGGCATCAGATCTCATTATAGATAGTTGTGAGCCACCACGTGGTTGCTGGGAATTGAACTCAGGACCCCTGGAAGAACTGCCTGCTGGTGCTCTTAACCTCTGAGCCATCTCTCTAGCCCAGATACTATTATTACACAGACACAGACACACACACACACACACACACACACACACACACACACAGACACACACACCCCTGTGTAGCCCAGGTTAGCCTTGAACTCACAATCCTTCTGTCTTAGCCATAGTGCTGGGATCACAGGTATGCACCACCATACTTGGCTCGAACCATACATTTTGAATGAATGAACTGCGTGTTATGTGACTCAAATTGCAAATTGTGTGTGTGTATGTGTGTGTGTGTGTGTGTGTGTGTGTGTGTGCGCGCGCATACCTGTGTGTGCACTCATGATATCCTTCTCAGGGTAAGTGAGGTGCCACCAGTCTGATACTGATAGCCATGGATATGAGGGCTACTGGGACTTAGGGAGACAGGAGTGGCTGTCACTCCTGGCCTGGTAATCCAGGCTGCAGCATGGATGATATTACCCTGAGTGAAAGCCACCAGTTACAAAAAGACAATTTATGCCTGATTCCACCTATATGAAATGTCTAGAACGGACCCCTTTCAGACCATGCAGTGGCGGTTCCTAGGGTTGGGTAGGGATGAGGAATTACTGCTTAATGATTTCCAAGTCATGCTGGGTGATGTAAAAGTTTCGACAGCAGTGATGGTGGTTACTTAACCTTGCAAATGTCCTTAGTGACACTGAGCTGTGTACTCCAAAAATGACCCCAGTGCTAAGTTTCACATTGTGTATATTCTACCACAAAAATGGAAAAAAAAAAAAAAAACCAACCCAAGGAGCTTTGGGCAAGCAGTGATTGACATCTGAGCCAACATGGAAGGAACCCAGGGCATAGGATGATGGATCTCAGCACAGGCTTTTCCTGTGCTGAAACACTGTGCAAGCTGGGTGTGGCGACACACACCTTTAATCCCTGCGGTTGGGAGGCTCAGGCAGGAGGGTTGGAGACTGGGGTCATCTTCAGCTATATAGCGATGTTGAGGCCAGCCTGGGCTACATGAGCCCCCATCTCAACAAAGTAAGAAGCGAGTGTCGTGTGGGCGCAGTACTGCTATTTAAATAGCCGCAGTAATCAGAGGAAGGTTGAATGGAGCTCTGTGCCTCATTCAACACCTCTTCCTCTGCTGTGTGAGAACAGAGTTGCTCCAGCAGGGCTAAGCCAAGTGAGCGTGCTTTCTGCTGAAGACGCAGTATGGCGGGCGGGAGAGACAGACAGGGCTAGGTCCAAAGGGTGGATACTGCCCATGGCCTTCTCACACTTCGATTTTCTCCCTTGTCAGAGAAGGGGGATTTCATCGCCCTGGATCTTGGCGGGTCTTCCTTTCGAATCCTACGGGTGCAGGTGAATCACGAGAGGAACCAGAATGTCCACATGGAGTCTGAGGCCTACGAAACCCCAGAGAATATCGTGCATGGCAGTGGAAGCCAGGTGGGTCCTTGTTCTCCCTCATTTCTGTCCCATCAAGCCAGCATCCCTTGGAGCACTTGCAGGGGCCAGACTTCTGAAAGCTGGTGTCCCTCCCGAGGCCTGGCAGGACTCACCGGAGGGCTGTCACGAAAGTGTCAATTGTAAAGGACTCCCCGGGGGAGGGATGAGGCAGCTGTGCGGGGCTGGCACACACCATCTGGTGAACTGGTGGTGTGGGAGTGGGTGAAGGCTGTGGGGAGGGAGGCTCCGTGGCTCCCACTGTTGCAAGTGCTTTTATTCCCAAAGGATCCTGGGTCGGTCCCTTGGCACAGGTCTAGCCTGCCCTTTGAGTAGACATGCCCCTCTCTCAGGCCACTGGTTTCTTCACCCACTCCTCTGGAAGCCAGGCCCTGTGGAGTGGCTCCCAGCTTGGGACATCGGGAGCTCTGCACTCTGACTTAATGGTGCGTACACACCCTTGGCACAGGAAGCCGAGCCTGCAGGCTTTCCTTTGGAAATGGCTGTCCCTCCTCACCGCTCACACCCAAGGCTTCTCCTCCTTCCACGGGACCTTGAGCAGGGCCAACCTTCCTGACCAAAGGACATACCTGGAGAGGACCTGTTCTGTGATGTGTGGTGGGGGCCCTATCTCCCCAGGACCCTGTGACTAAGGTTCTGGCAGTAGCCTCAGGTGGTTATTCATCTCTGGGTCCCCTGAGCCTATCACACAGTGGGGGGGTGCTCCATTACTCTGGTGGATGGGGGTTTGTGCCCCACCCACACCCTACATTGCGGCCATGGTCTTGGTACCATTGGAAGCTTGCCAGATTTCTGTTGTGGAAGGTGTGTGTTCATAGCAAGGTTCCCCAAGTTCTCCACAGAAATCAGTGGTTCTGGGGTGGGCTGTGAGGTGAGGCCCCCCACGCCTTCTGTATAGGATCCCACTTGGTGCCCAAGTTACTGTGGGTGAAAGCTGGAGCAACCCACCTAGATAAGAGCTGGGCCTGGCCCTGAGCTCTGCCTGCTGCTTGGATCCCGAGTTTTTCAGAGCATGTCACAGTGAGCGTGGAAGGAAGCACTCTCTCTGGTGTGGGCAAGCCACCTTCCAGCCAGCCACGGAGGCAGGTGAGCCACATTAGGTGGTCCTGCCTCCATCACTGGGCTTTAGACCCTGGTCCCTTCAGCCCGAGTCCGCTGCTCGGGGGAAGGAGGTCTCGTAGCTTCTTTTCTGCAGGCAGCCAGCAACCTGTTAGGCGGGCCCAAACAAGTACCGGCTTATCACTGTTGTTCGTGGTATTTGGGTTCAGCCACTGCTGAGACTGGCAGTGTGCTGTGTGCGGACATTCCCTGTGTGCCTCGGCCTGGCCTTTTAGGAGCAGGGCTTGTTCAGGGGGGTGCCTCCATCCCAGGGTACACTTCCTCAGGAATTCCCTTCCAGCCTGTGCCCGTAGTTCCCCTTCTTGTTCCTGGGATCATTTTGTCTCCTGCTGTTTTTTTTTTTTTTTGCTCCTTCTAAATCCTCTAAAAAGACGACGGTTTTGGTGACTCGGTGTCTTATTTTATAGCACACACTGGTACCATGCTTGTTGTGTGCAAGTGGCTGACGTAGAAACACTTTATATTTAGTGACTCACGGCACCCCTGTGGGATGGGCATTCATTATGTCCATCTTATACGTGGGAGAGTCCTAGCTCAGCTGCTTTAGTAGCCCCCACAAATTCTGAGATTTCTGAGGTGGTCTCATCCCAGAAGTTACAATTTCAGCTGCTGGGACTTTTTTTTTTCTTCTTCTTTCATTTATTTATTTATTTTGAAACAAGGTTTCACTATGTAGCTCTGGCTGTTTTGGAAACTCTCTAGTCCTGGCCGACCTCAAACTCCAAGAGATCTGCCTGCTTCAGCCTTCCAGTGCTGAGATTAAAGGCGTGCGTTACTACATCCAGCAAGAAATTTAAATGCATATATGTGGCTTGTGTGAGTGTATGCCACATATATGTAGCTGTAAATACCCCCAAGAGGCCAGAAGAAGGCATTGGGTAGCCTCTGGAATTGGGGTTAACATATTGTGGGCTGCCTGATATGGATGCCGCCAACCAAACTTGGGTCCTCTGGAAGAGCAGCAAGTAGTGTTCTTAACCTGTCTTAGTTAGGGTTTCTGTTGCTGTGAAGAGACATCACGACCACAGCAACTCTTATAAAGGAGAACATTGAATTGGGCGGCTTACAGTTTCAGAGGTTTAGTCCATTTTCACCGTGGTGCGACATGGCAGCATGCAGGCAGACATGGTGCTGGAGAAGAGTTGAGAGTCCTACATCTTGATCCGAAGGCAACAGAAAGTGGACTGCACTTGGCTTAGCTTGAGCATAGGAGACCTGGAAGCTCGACCCCACAGAGACACACTTCCTCCAACAAGGCCACACCCACTCTAACAAAGCCACACCTCCTAATAGTGCCTCTCACTGTGAGCCTATGGAGGCCAATTACATTCAAACTACCACAACCTCTGAGCCTCCCTCTTTCTTAGATCCCTGTTTCTTAGTTTTTTTTTTTTTTTTTTTTTTGTTTTTTTTTTTGGTGAGGAAATGTGACTGTGGACAGGAGCTTCGATCAGGTGGAAGGGGAGCAGGGTGGCAAGGTGGACAGGGCTGAAGCCGGAACATCTATCTCCAGCATTCTGGTGTGAGCAGTCGGCTGGTATCTCCTGAGATCTCTGACCTCTTCTCTGGAGCTCTGTGCTGACCCAGGTCCTCATGTTACCCATGGAGCTGCTCAGACTCACAGGCGGTGAACAGTGGAGGCTTGAGGGTCTGGATCCTGCGGGGTTCTCACCCTCTGTGATGTGTAGATGTTTTAAAATTGGTTTTAAACCTTTCGTCTGAAATACTGTTAAACTTAGAGATGAGCAGACGGTATGTTCACCCTGCAGCCCCCCCCCCCCCCCCCCCCGCCAGTCCCTTTGTCTCCCCTCTCACCCACATGGTACCTCAAGAACCTCCTACAATTTTAAGTTTTATGATGTCAGAAGCTGCATGCACCATTGTTAAAACATGTTAAAACTTTAAAAAGTGATGGGGGGACCAGCTCAGCAGTAATTGTCCTTCTGCACAAACATGAGAACCTGAGTTCGGATCCCAGCATTCACATACAAAGCTGGGTGTGGCCGGACGGTGGTGGCGCACGCCTTTAATCCCAGCATTTGGGAGGCTGAGGCAGGTGGATCTCTGTGAGTTCGAGGCCAGCCTGGTCTACAGAGCGAGATCCAGGACAGGCACCAAAACTACACAGAGAAACCCTGTCTCGAAAACAAACAAACAAAAAACCACCACTGGCTGTGGCTCCCCAAATGGCTGTATCCCCAATACTGTCAGAAAGAGAGACAGGAGGATGGCCTGAGCTTGTTGGTCATCAGGCTAGCTCCAGATTCAACGAGAAACCTTCTCTCAAGGTAATGAAACAGTGAGAGAGCCAAACACTTGACATTGTCCTCTGGCCTCATTGGTGAGCACTGGGACACGCTTGTTGATACTCGTGTGCATCTACACCTTGTGCACACACACACACATTACTTAAATAGTTTTGATAATTTTGAATAATACTTAAAATTGTTGCTTTTTAAAAATTTTGCTTTCTTTTGCCATTATTTGCCCTGCTAGTCAGTTGAAGGACTAAGTCTGTATGTGTGTGTGTGTGTGTGTGTGTGTGTGTGTGTGTGTGTGTGTGTGTGTAGCATGTGTATGTACAAGTTTTGTGGGGGTGCTCATCCACGTGTGCGTGAGAACGCAAGTGTAGAGGTCAGAGACTGATGTCAGGTAACCTTTCTCCAACACTCTCTCCATTATCTGTCTGAGAGGGTCTCTCATGGGACCCCGAGTCCCTGACTGGCTGGCGAGCTGCTCCGGTCCCTTCCTCCCAGGCACCAGGGCCGCAGCAGGCTGCCTCCTCGCCTGGCTGTTCAGATGTTCTCTGGGGATCTGAACTCAGGTCCTCATGCCTGCATGGCAGACCCTTCACCAACTGAGCCATCTCCTTACTCCTTAAAAAACTGATTTTTCGTGCGTACGTGTATGAGCGTGTGTGTGTGTGTGTGTGTGTGTGTGTGTGTGTGTGTGTGTACACATGCGTGTGCACGCAGCCACAGTGGGAGTATGTGGAGGTCAGAGGACACCTTGTGAGAGTTTGTCCTTCCATCATGTGGGTCCCGAGTGTTGAACTCAGGCTACCAGTCTTGGTGGGGAGCACTGACCTGCCGAGTCATCCCATTGGCCCTAAAATGTTGGTTCATTTTAGCTAGCTCAGGCTGGCCCGGAACTTGCCATATAGTCCAGACTGGCCTCACACTCATTATCCTGCCTCTGCTTCCTGCGTGTGAGGTCACAAACATGAGTCACTACAGCTTCTGTGCGTATTTTTAAAATAATGAGCATGTTGTCAGGAAGGTGAGGCGTCACTCATTCATTAATTCATTCATTCATTTATTTTGTGGTACTGGGTATTGAATCCAGGGTCTTGGAAACTAGACATGCTCCACCACTGAGCCACAACCCAAGCTCATTCCTTACCTTTTATTTCAGAAGATAGGGCCTCTCTAAGATGCCTAGCCTGGGCTGGAATTTACTGTAGCTCAGGCTGGCCTGAAACTCTGGCTCCTCCTCCCTCAGCCTCTCGAGTGTTAGGACTATAGGTATGCACGGGGTGCACCTCGGCCTTCTCAGCCACTATAAGAAGATGCATTTGGCTTGGTTTCAGGTGCTGCAGTGAACCCTTTCAGGCCCTCCTCCCTGCCCTTCCTGGACGACCTTCCTCCCTTCCTTCCTTCCTTCAGCTCACTTGGAGCAGGAGTGCCTGGAGCCCCGGGTGCAGATGGCGGAGGGCTCAAGACTGACTTAGTAAAGGGTTTGTAGCAGCCTGAAATAGGTCACAGGAGGCTTAGCCCGGTTTCTCCGGAGAGGATGGTCACGTGTCTCTTCAGTCAGAGACACTGCCGCAGGGTAGCCTGAGTAATAGTGACTCAGGACCGAGGCTCCCAAAGACAGAATGGACTGGGCGTTCCCTAACCCCAGCAGTGAGTCAGGTCCCCTCTAAAGCTGGGTCAAGGTGACTCAGTGCCTTCGACACCGTCCTCTTCTGGACTCTTAAGAAGCTCTGTGGCTGTGTTCCCAAAGGCACACTACCATCAGTAGTGTCCATGCAGAAGCCAGGGAGCCAGGCTTCTGGGTGCTTTCCTAGTGGATTCCTGCGGTGTGTATATACCTAATGAGTCAGAGCCAGCAAGCTTGCATGGCAATGCCAGATATACACTGGGATATTCATAGCATGGCGTGTTCACGCCGTAGTACAGTGATGAACAGGGACAGTCCCTAAAAAGATACATGGATAACTCAGAACAAAGACAGCAGGGTGCACTCCCAGCTCCATTTCCATTTATACACGAGAGTGTTAGAAATCGGGGTGGCAGGAATGACCCCAGAGCCATGAAGGTAGCATCTGTTTTTTTTTTTTTTTTTTTGGTTTTTCGAGACAGGGTTTCTCTGTGTAGCTTTGCGCCTTTCCTGGAACTCACTTGGTAGCCCAGGCTGGCCTCGAACTCACAGAGATCCGCCTGTCTCTGCCTCCCGAGTGCTGGGATTAAAGGCGTGCGCCACCACCGCCCGGCTTGTTTTGTTTTTTTGAGACAGGGTTTCTCTGTGTAGCTTTGCGCCTTTCCTGGAACTCACTTGGTAATCCAGGCTGGCCTCGAACTCACAGAGATCCGCCTGGCTCTGCCTCCCAAGTGCTGGGATTAAAGGAGTGCGCCACCACTGCCCAGCGCATCTGGGTTTTTATTGTTGTTATGGTTTAAGGCAGGGTTTCACTCCATTGCCTACCTTGGCCTTGAACTCGAGGCAATCCTCTTGCCTCAGACTCCGGCATGCCAGAATTGTGGCCATGAGCTACCGTGTCTCGCTTGTCTCGTGGGTTTTGGTGTTGTTCTGTATCTTTGGGGGTTAGGCCCTGGGGATCAGCCAAGGGCGTTGTGGCTAGACAAGTGCCGTACACTGCTCCATACCCCCAGCCCACTTTGTACTTCTCGATGTGGGTATCGGCGATGGAGCAGGTGCAGCTTGTGAGAGCCCTGCGATCTCCACACTTAGGGTTCCTGCATTTCGGGGGTGCTCATCTTTCCTTCAGTAGGTAAAGCAAAAGCACAATGCTTTGACGGTTGTTCAGCCATGGAGCTGCCTGAGGAGCTCTAGGATCGGCCGTGGGAGTGGCCAGGTCACTCCTCCTGGACAGCTGATGGAAACCCCTGGCCAGTGTGTCATGGAAGACTCTTTGCTGATTCTCTGTGTTTCTAATTTTCCTTCAGTGCCTAGATGACCAGTGTCAGTGACCTCTGAGAGGCCAGTTCCTTTGGAGGACTGGAGGTGTTCTGTAAGAGCTATGTTTGCCAGCACACGTGTCCGTGTGCACGCACATGCACACACACATCGTGTGATCTGAAACAGAGTTCTCTCTCCGCCCCCAATCTGATGTCGCTCTTCTGTGCCGTCTAGCTCTTCGATCATGTCGCTGAGTGCCTGGGGGACTTCATGGAGAAAAGGAAGATCAAGGACAAGAAATTACCTGTGGGATTCACGTTTTCTTTCCCCTGCCGACAATCCAAAATAGACGAGGTAAGGATGCCTTGGGGGACACTTGGGTTCAGAAGATGGCAATTGCGCTCTCAGGTTTCCCCTTGCTTGTGGGTGACTCACATGCCTCCTGGTTTTGGCATCGTTTGCCAAAATTAACATGAAGTTGTGGTGACATGTTTCTTCTTACCCTTCTTTTCTCCTACCACCCCCATCCCAGACCTCTTCTGAGGGGTCTACTGTATCCCAGGCTGCTCTCTGGAGAGTAGCCTAGGATGACTTTGAACTCATGGTTCTCCTTCCTCAGAACCACCCTGCCTGGTTCATGTGGTGCTAGGGATTGAACCCCGAATCTAGTGCATGCCGGGCAGGCTCATGTGGTGCTGGGGATTGAACCCCGAATCTAGTGCATGCCGGGCAGGCTCATGTGGTGCTGGGGATTGAACCCCGAATCTAGTGCATGCCGGGCAGACGCTCTACTAGCTCAGTCATATCTGCAGCCTGTTCCGTTGATCAGTTACTTTAGTTGCTGGCGTATTTTTAGAGACCAACTAAGGTACTTATAGCCACCAGGTAGAGGGAGCCATTGATAAAGCTCTCATAAGTGAGCAAGGTAGACAAGGCTGAATAGCTGTGGAGAGAAGGGGGAAATTCTTCCTTGGGGTTGAAGTGTGTTTACCTGGAAGCCACATGGCGACCGCGAGTCTGGGCAGGTGCTGCGCCTCTGGAATCAGGCTGGCTTCTGCCTGAACAGAAACCTTTGGTTCCCTTGTTGAGCTCCCAGGCGACTGAGTTGTCACAGCGTCCTCCTTATTGTCATTTATTCATTCATGCGTCTGTTTGGCAAGGATGCACTCAGCTCTACCCTGTGGTAAAACCATTCCTCAGAGAGCTATGGAGATGTGGAAAAAGAAGGCAGAGACTGTTCCTTGCCTATGTGAGGGGACAGAACAACCCTCCCACCACACACACACACACACACACACACACACACACACACACACACACACCCCTCCCAGCCCTTCCTCAAAGCTTGCTACTGTGTGATAGCGTGGGAGAAAGGTCTGAAGCCCCCAAGATGCCTAAGTTATAGATCATGCTGAACTGTATATGTATATGTTTTTGCTTATACATTCACACACCTGATAAAGTTTAGTTTGTGCATTAGGCACATTACGAGATTAACAACTATAGCTAACATTGGAACACTTCAAACCGTTTACTACAGTAAGAGTTATGTGAAGATATGTTCTCAAAATACCTAATTGCCGGGCAGAGATGCCACTCAGTTCAGTGCTGGCCTCGTGTGCATGAAGCCCTGCGTTTGATCCCCAGCACCGAGTATGATGGTGCATGCCTGTAGTTCCAACACAGCCATAACCCAGTACTCGGGAGGTGGAGGCAGGAGGACCAGAGAGGCTCCAGGTCATCCTCAGCTCCATAGCAAGTTCAAAGCCAAAGTGGGACACATAAGACCCTGTCTCAAAAAGTCAGTTCCTCTTTGAGACTTGGCAGTTGGTGTAATAACCGAGATGGCCGCTCAGTGGCCAACATGATGACTGAGTGTTTAATAGGCACTGGGCCAGGCCCTGAGAGAGAATGGCTAGCGGATATGACCTGGCCTCCAGAAAGCAGTCTTTGAAGGGGAGAGGAAGGTGTGGCAGGAGGGACATCCTCCTGGGGACAGGAGCCTGCAGGGTGGAACAGATGTGGGGGCGGGGCCTTGTGGGCAGGGGAGGTGCCAAAAGTGTGGCTTGTTTACCAACCCTGACCCCCATGGTGGGGGGCGGGGTTCAATAGCCTCCATTGCCCAAATCTAGACCAACTCCGTTATTCTCAATGTACAGAATGCTCCACAGAGGATTGAGATAACAGTCCACCAGGAAGTGGGTGGGAGCTTAGAGAAAGGACTGGGTCTCTAGTCAGCCGAGTCCATGTTCTTCCCACAATAATACCACGTTTGTTTCATTAGAGGCTGAAGGGAAGAAAAGGGCCCCTAGGGTCATTTCCAATGCCGGGCTTAGTCATAGTTGCTCCAGAGTGGAGGTTCACCCACTCCTGTGCAGCCCGCCATGTGCTGCATGGCTCTCCGAGCGAGGTCAGGCCCTTCTTCTTTGTGTAAGCCCTGGGAGACGGGCAGAGCCTGGCAATGGTCATCCCAAACCTGCTGTGTCTATAGCAGCCTTCCCCGCTGAGAAAAGAAGAGCCAAATAGAACTCTTTTATTCCCGGTTTTTGATTTTTTTATTTCTTTTAAAGGCCATATGTAAAAACCATTGACACATACAATACAAAGCTTATGGCAAAGCTAAGTCCCAACTCACGCATACTCCCGGGAACTTAGCCTTGCCCGCCTCTCTCCTGCTTGTTGTCGCTCTGTGAACATGCAGACAGAGATGAGCATCGTACTGTACGATGGGGGATGCATCACGTACAGATGGGGGTGGAAGTCCCACCAAGTACTCTTAGCTGCTGAGGCTTCTCTCCAGCTCTTTTTGAATGGGGCCTGGCTGACGTCAGGTTCAATTCCCAGCATCCACATGCTGGCTCACAGTTGTCTGTAACTCCGGTTCCAGGTGATCCAACACCCTCACACAGACATACATGCAGGCAAAACACCAACGCACATAAAATGAATAAATCAGTGCCTGGCCGTGGCACACACCTTTAATCCCAGCACTCGGGAGACAGAGGCCGGTGGATCTCTGAATTCAGAGGCTAGCCTGTTCTACAAAATGAGTTCCAGGACAGGCTTTTCAAAGCTGCACAGAGAAACCCTGTCTCAAAAAATCCAAAAACCAAAACCAAACCAAACCAAAACCAAAAAATAAATAAATAAATCATTTTAAAAAAGTTCTCCCAGAGAAACCCATTAAGTGGATAGACAGGTGGTGGATCAAACTCACTCTGGCTCCGATGTGACTTGGTAGAGGCCACTTGTCACTGAGGTATGTCTACTTTGTCCCTGTGCTGGGCTGAGTAGCCCCCAAGGCCTGGGGATGCCAAGGCTCTCTGCTCTGATTCCACGTTTCCACTCTCGTTCGCAGGCTGTCCTGATCACGTGGACAAAGAAGTTCAAAGCCAGTGGCGTGGAAGGAACAGATGTGGTCAAGCTGCTGAATAAAGCCATTAAGAAGCGAGGGGTAATTTCCCTTGGGTTGTGCAGAGTCGGGTATGGCGGGAATCTCCATCTTAAAATGGCTTACCGCTCGCTCGTGTTGCCGGGAGGGGAGGGGCACAGACGTGCTGTGCTCTGAACACCCCGACAGGGGACTAGTGAGAATCCCAGCCCAGGGGAGTAGGTTAGATGTGAACTCCCAGAAATGCCACCAAAGGTGGCCTGCAGCGGAGACCCTCCAGCCAGAACCTTCAGGGATTAGCTCTTGAAGGAGCTGCCCTCTGTGGATCTTCTGACTCTCCATTGGAGGCTTGCAGAGGAATGTAGAGGAAAATTCACCCCCCCAAAGAATCCTGAGCCAGATAATTAAGGGGACCTTGCAGTTTCCATAACGTAATCACTGCTCTCTAATCCAGTTAATTGAGTACTGGCCACAGTGAAGCCAGCGCCGCCCACTAGCTTGGTGGCATGTGAGAATCGGAGCATGCCTGCCAAGCTTATCTCTGAGGGCGGGATTTCTGCACCCCTCCGGGAGCTGACGGTGACCTTCTCTTCGTTATTGGTCCCCAGGACTATGACGCCAACATTGTGGCTGTGGTGAATGACACAGTGGGGACCATGATGACCTGCGGCTACGATGACCAACAGTGTGAAGTTGGCCTGATCATTGGTAGGGCGCCCCCCCACCTCCCCGAGCTCCGCCCCTTGATTCCGCCCACGAGACACCCGACAACGTCCTGCCTTGTCTCTCCCAGGCACTGGCTCCAACGCGTGCTACATGGAGGAGCTGCGACACATTGACCTGGTGGAGGGGGACGAGGGAAGGATGTGCATCAACACCGAGTGGGGGGCCTTCGGGGACGACGGGTCCCTGGAAGACATCCGAACCGAGTTTGACAGAGAGCTGGACCGGGGATCCCTCAACCCTGGGAAGCAGTTGTGAGTAGACTTTCTCTTCTAGCTACGCATCTGACTTAGGAAGCACTTAGCAAAAGACTGGAGGGTAGATGGGAAAAGCCATAAAGCCAGGTCGTCACCAATGCTGTCGCCCATTGGATTTATTTTTATCTTTTTGTCACACTGGTGTGGATCCAACAGTCTCTGGCATGCCAGGTAAATATTCTACCACTGAGCCATATCTTCAGCCTTTAAATTGTTTTTTTTTTTCTTTGTTTGGAAACAGAGTCTTGTTAAGTTGCCTAGGTTGGTCTTGAACTTACAGCCCCCGCAGTCTCAGCCTCCTGAGTAGCTGAGATGACAGGCTTGCACTAACAGCCTGCGCTCTACTTCAGATTTGCACGATTGGACTACTGCTTCTTGCTTGGTTAGATGCGCGGCTGTGGAGGGCATGCCTTTAAAGGCAAGATGGCGTAGTAGATAAAGGTGCTTACTCAGTATGTAAGCCTTGACAGCTTCAGTTCGACCCCTGGATCCCATGTAAAAGTAAGAGAACCACAGCTGCAGAGTTGTTCTCTGATCTCCACGTGTGTTGTGGCACGTGCGCCCATGAACACACAAACGTGCACACACATACACAATAATATATATATATATATATAAATAATTTATTTATTTATTTAATTTAGGGCTGGAGAGATAGCTCTGTGGTTAAGAGCACTGACTGTTCTTCCAGAGGACCTAAGTTCAATTCCCAATACTCATATGGCGGCTCAAAACCATCTATAACTCCAGTTCCAGGAGATCTGACACCCTTTTCTGACCTCCACAGGTGCCGAGCACACACATGGTACACAGATATACAGGCAGACAAAACACCCAATCGTGTAAAGTAATAGAATAATTAAAAATATCAGAGTCGGGCGGTGGTGGCGCACGCCTTTAATCCCAGCACTTGGGAGGCAGAGACAGGCGGATCTCTGTGAGTTTGAGGCCAGCCTGGGCTACAGAGTGAGTTCTAGGAAAGACACAGAGCTACACAGAGAAACCCTGTCTCAAAAAAAAAAAAGTTAAATAACATTTTTTTCTGTTTGATCACCTTATGATTGGGATAGGGATGTAGCTCAGTTGGTAGGGTGCTTGCCAGGCATGAGTGAGGCCCTGGGCTCCATCCCCAGCATGCCATAAACTGGGTGCAGTGATACATGCAATCCCATCATCAGGAGGTGTTAGAAGAGGACCAGAAGTTCAAGGACAGCCTAGGCTATGCGAGACCCCATCTCAAATGCATATAAAAATAGCTTAGGAAGTAACCAGACACAGGCAAGGTCCTAAGCGCTCAGTAGCCAGATTTCACGGTCATGACCTGTATGAGCACGCGTCCTGGGCAGAACCTTGCAGGAAGGCCTTGCCTTACCATTACACAGATGAGGAAGCCGAGGCCTTGACAGGTACAGCGGCAGCAGAATTGACGTGAGCCTGGCCGTCGGGCCCCGCTTGCCCTTCCGCCGGCTCAGGGATTCCAGCCTAGACTCCACAGGGCTCTTCCCACAGGAGCCTGGGCAGTGGCTGAGCAGCCAGGCCACAGAGGGAGCTTTCCTGCCAGGGAGCATCCACTCTCTGGAGCTGGGTGGGCCCGCCTGCCCGGACCCGTCAGGAACAGGGAACAATGGAGACTGTGTTTGGAAGGAGGCCGTGCGCTGCGCTGACAGGCCAGGGCCGGGCGCTCGAGGGCCCGGCAGCATCTTTGGCTACTGGATAGCTCTGACTGGAACAGATTGTTTTGCTGTCTCGATGCCAGCTCTGGGAGTGCCAGCCAGCCAGCCACCCTTAAGAGGAGGCCTCTGATCTGCTTGACTGAGGGGCTCCTTCCAGTCCCTGACCAGCCATACTGGGGTCTGAGTCCGACTCAAATATGCTATTAGGCCCCGGGAGCCCCCCCGCCCCCAACTGAGTCTTCTGATTGGCACGTTTTAGCATCCGTCCACAGGCTCCCCTATGGTGCTTGGACCGGAGAGGTTGCTTCAGATATGACGTCACACCTCTCGCCACGTTCACTGTGGGATTGGCCCCTTCCTGAATTTGGCCAGAGCGGTGGGGTGAGCTGATTGGCCTTCAGCTCCTCAGAGCCCATCCCCGGATGGTAGGGTGAGGCCAGTAGGGAAGGAGTGTGTATTCCTCAACAGCAAAGCCTGATCCTTAGCAGGCAAAGGATGAAATGAGGGGCTGGGGATGCAGCAGCGTTGACGCAGTGCTTGCCTAACACGCGCACAGCCCTGAATCAGAACCCCCCCAGTACTTGTATAAACTAGACTTCATGGGACACACCTATAATCTCAGCCCTCACAAAGTGGAGACAGGAGAATCAGAAATTCAAGGTCATCCTTTGCTACAGATCAAGCTTAAGACCAGCCTGGCTTTGTAAGAATTTGTTTCCAAAACAAACAAACCATCAGACGTAGAGACAGACATCTGAGTCGATCTGAGCTATTTGCCAGCTCCAGGTCTCAGCTCCTGCACCCTGAAAGTGAAGATTTAGGGCTCCAGGGCTGAAGGGACTAAAGTCCAAAGCCAGATCTGCTGTTGCTGTTCTTCCATGGACAGGTGAATTGACCTCTCTGAGCTTCCGCTTCCCCACACTAGAACGATCCCCAGGCCCCCGTGTCATTTATTGGGAAGCTTCCAGGCAATCGTGCACTGAAGTCCTTTAGTGCTGTCCCTGACACTGTCATCTCCATCTTCATCGACAGCGTCTTCTTCACCATCATCAAGTACCAGGGCTGGGATCAACAAAGGCACAGGGGCTGGGGAGTTGGTCCAGCAGTTAAGAGTGTACACTGCTCTTGCAGAGGACCCAAGTTCAGGTCCCGGGATCCCTGTCGGGCACCTCAAAACTACCCTTTGTGGGCACATATACTCCGGCCCACAGACAACACACACACACACACACACACACAAAACACATAATAACTTTTTAAAAATTATCCAAAAAACAAATGCACCAATAGCCTCTTTCCCCATGGAGAACAGATTCCCGTATCCTCCAGAAGAAGACATTTTTCCCTCTTCTGAGCTGGGCACTTCCGGGCTACCTCCGTCCCGGAAGGCTGTCTGCCGGAGTGATGGGAATGACAGTCGTGTCAGAGGTGACCCCTTCGTTTGTGTGGGGCCCTTCTCACCTGCCACCCTTAATCCAAATTCTCACAGTCCCCTACCTCCAGGCAGCCTTCCTCGCCTGTCCCAGCCCTGCAGCGTTTTCCTGGGTGGCCACCCTGTCTAGAGTCAGTGTCTGAATCACACAAGTGACCTTCCTACCACGGAGACTGGGAGCTCGAGATGCAGTGGGCCCCCTCTGCTTTTCTGCTGTCCCCTCCGTGAATGCTGACCCCGGTGGCAGCGGTGGCGGCGTTAGATCAGAGGGTACCTAAAGATACCAATGGAATCCCCCCTGCAGGTTCGAGAAGATGGTCAGTGGCTTGTACATGGGGGAGCTGGTCCGGCTGATCCTGGTGAAGATGGCCAAGGAAGGCCTCTTATTTGAAGGGCGCATCACTCCAGAACTGCTCACGAGGGGCAAGTTCAACACTAGTGACGTGTCAGCCATTGAAAAGTAGGTACCATCTGGGGGCTTGGGAAGAAGGCGGGGTGGGAGGGGGGACGCGGGGGGGGGGGCTGCTACCTCTTCAGACCAAGTATGGGGGCAGCTTTTCCCCAAGCACCAGGCTATCTGGATCCATCTCCCCTCACCCTCAGGCGGCCTCTCCAGCTGGTTCCCTGCACGATCTTTCTGGTACGGTCTTTAAGAAACAGCCTGGGGGCTATGGAGATGCTCAGCAGGTTCAGTCCCCAGCACCCACATGGCAGCTCATCATCATCTATCTCTATTTCCAGGGGACCAACTTCTGGTCTCTGTAGGCACCAGGCATGCGTGTGGTGCACCAAAAACACCCACAGACATAAAAATAAATAAATCTTAAAAAGAAGAAAAAACTTAGCACAAGTGTTTTATGGATGTTTTTCTTGTGTAGTTTCAAAAACAGTGCCCTCCTCACTCTCACGCATCACACACGAAAACACACACACACCACACCACACTCATTCACTCATTCCACATTCACCTCCAACCCCCTCCTCTCTGGGTAAGATTCAGTTCAAGGAAGCAGCTGATTCCAGTGTTGAATCAGACTGAGCAGACCTGGGCCTGGACTCTTGGAATTCCCTCTTGGTACATCATGACCTTTCCCAAACTGTCTTCTAGGGAACCTAGAGGCATCCACTCAATGACTGGATGGTTCTGTGGGAAATACTAGTTTGTAGTATTTATTAACTAGAATACTAAAGAACCCTGATCACTGTGATTAACCCAACATTCCCCAAAGTTTCTTTTGAGCCCAAACTGCCTCCCTGATCTTGCTGCTCCGTGCTGTCCATCCCCGCATGAGTTACCTGCAGTGTGCCCTCACTGGTCCCAGGAAATTCACATCAGGCCAGTGGAGCTTTGTGAGAGAGAGAGAGAGAGAGAGAGAGAGAGAGAGAGAGAGAGAGAGAATATTTTAAAACCTAACAGCAAATCTATACAGAATCCTCTGAATGAAATAAAACCAACAAAAGATATACAAAACATGTACGCAGAAAATTAGAATTTTATAGGAAACATCTGGACATATATGTAAGCAACTCAGATCCTCCATGAGGGAGGTTCCCCTTCTCTATGAGCATCCACTCCCGGGCAGAAACAGCTCTTTTTCTCCACTTGCTCACAGGCCACGTGTGCGGTCTCCCCTCTCCGCAGCTGGGCATGACATGCCTGGCCTGGTAGTATTCCCACCAGCCAGCTATTCCTTGTGCACGGGCACCCACCCCGGGCATTCCACAGTGCTCCTCCCATGCCAGGCTGCACGGTGGGTTCTGCCCTCCCGCAGCTCTGCCTCCCAACCCTGGTGCTTGCTCTCCGCAGCCTGGCACGGTCCCGAACTCATAAAGTGTGACCTCTCACCTCCCAGGAATAAGGAAGGCATTCAAAATGCCAAGGAAATCTTAACCCGCTTGGGAGTGGAGCCGTCTGACGATGACTGTGTTTCGGTCCAGCACGTATGCACCATCGTCTCCTTTCGTTCCGCCAACCTAGTGGCTGCCACACTCGGGGCCATCTTGAACCGCCTGCGTGACAACAAGGGTACGGCCAGGCTTCGGACCACGGTCGGTGTGGATGGTTCTCTCTACAAGACGCATCCACAGTAAGTCCACCCGACGCTGTATTTGCTCGTTCCTCCATCCGCGTGAGACCAAGGCCCCTCTCCAGAGGGCACACTTGTGCACCCAGCCCATGGTCTGGGAAGATAAGACAGTGCCTGGTTCTGGGAAGCAAGGCTAAGCGTTGCTCATCTGGGACAGCCCGCCCTCAATGCCTTGTCACGTGTGGCTTCTGCAGTCCACGTTGGTCTCTTATTTCCCAAGGTGAGATGGGTGTGTGTGTATGTGTGTGTGGGGCTTGCCAGTACTTTTTCCCCCAGGGTACTCTTTTGGTTTTTTGAGACAGGGTTTCTCTGTGTAGCTTTGCGTCTTTCCTGGAACTCGCTCTGTAGCCCAGGCTGGCCTCAAACTCACAAAGATCCGCCTGGCTCTGCCTCCCGAGTGCTGGGATTAAAGGCGTGCGCCACCACCGCCCAGCCAGGGTACTCTTGATCAGGGAGAAATGAGGAATATGTAGATAGAAATATAGAGGAGAGAGACAGATAGAAACACAGGATATCCTCAGGAAGGGCCTGGGTCAAAACCCACCGCCCCCTCTGTCTTTACTAAAGGGCTTTAAAGGGATGCCAAGGGGTGGAGCAGAAGACCTCCCCCCGGCACAGCCAAGTGCAGACCTTCCCAGACACCTGGTGACCATGCACGTGGTCAAGCCATCCCCTAAATGCAGCCCTGCTGTGTAAAGCAAATTCAGGTCTCACTAGGAAGCTTTTGTGGGTTCCCATAATAGAGATTTCTCCAGACAGGAATGTGAGGTGTAGTGTGTCTGCAGCCTGGCTGATTGTATCCAGAGGGACTTCATCCCCATTAGAACTGGAACTTGGGCCAGGCCATGGTGGCACATGCCTTTAGTCCCAGCACTTAGGAGGCAAAGGCAGGTGGATCTCTGAGTTTGAGGCCAGCCTAGTCTATATAGTAGGACTCTGTCTAAAAACCAAATAAAACAAATGTCTGTAGGCAGTAAAATACACACAACACAACTCTGTCATCCTAGCTAGTCTCCAGGACACAGTCTGGTGGGGTTGGGGAGTTTCTATGCCATACATCCGCCATGTTCAAAACTCCTGTTTGCACCCTCACATTTTAAAGAGTAACTTTGACCTGGGGTGATGGCTCAGTCAGGACAGTGCATGCTACAAAAGTTTGAACACCTGATTCACTTCGCCAGAACCCATGCCAGGGGCAACAGTGTGGGGTGCCCCTGTAATCCCTGGGGAGGGTAGGAGCCAGGAGGATCCCTGGGGCCTGCTGTCCGGCTGGTCTAGACAGTTGGTGAGCTCTCCCTCGATTCATGAGAGACTACGTCTTTAAAAATAAGGTAGAGGCTGGGCAGTGGTGGCCCACACCTTTAATCCCAGCACTCTGGAGGCTGATCTGTATAAGTTGGAGGCCAGCTTGGTCTATAGAGGGAGTTCCAGGGCTACACAGAGACACTCTGTCTTGAAAAACAAAAACAAACGAAAGGTGGGAACAATTAAGGAAGACACCCTGGCCCCACACATGTGCTTGAACCAGAACTCTTTGATACCTACATACGCGCGCCCCTCCAGGAGCACATGCGCACAGAAAAGAAGCATTTGCAGCAGGTGTTGATTATTTCAGGATTACTAGACACTTGAGACCGTTCAAAACGTTTCAAAGTGAACAGAAGTCACTCTTAACCCATTCCTTGGAGGCGGTGACCGCCGGTATTTTGGGGAAATGGCTTTTCCTGTTTCCTTTGGCAGGCGGCCTTCCGTACAGCAGGACCACGAGTTCTGCGCCTCGCGCTGGCCTAAGCGTTTCTTCTAGGGGCGGAGGGGAAGAGCCAAGTGAAAATAAAAACATGAGGGGTTATTGAGCCCTGCCTCAGCGCCAGTTCCTCATGTCAGCGCCTCACTAAGTCCATTTATTTCTCAGCGCTCCACCTTCAGGCATTGGTCTCCATCGAGTCCAAGGTCAATACTGGCTCAAGGTCACTCGCCATGGCAGCAGCGGGGCGGGGCTCACTCACCCTTCTTTTCGGACTGAAGCGCTTGCCCTTTGGCTCCTGTGACACTTTAACGCAGTGGAGGAAAGAATCCTCCCCTCCAGCCCGCCATGATCCTTTGAAGCAAAGTCTTTCTATGTAGCCCAGGCTAGCCTGGAATTGACTATGTTGGCCAGGTTGGTCTGGAGCTGGTAGTGGCAGTCAGTCCTGCTTCACACAGGATGGTATGGGCCCTTGAATTTTTGTGGGTGACATTATCATGAAATAATGAGATCCTCCCATTTGTTATTATTGTTATAAGGAGTTTTGGATAATCTCCCTTTCCGTGCGCGCATTTCTATAGCGGGTGAATAAGGAAAGAGCAGTGGTAGAGGATGGAATTAAAGCATGCTGACTTGGGGGGCTCGCCAGATATCCCCAACAGGCAGCTTGGTCCAGCTGTTGCTGCACACCCCCATCAACCTTCTTCCCTCCCTCAGGTATTCCCGGCGCTTCCACAAGACCCTGAGGCGCCTGGTGCCCGACTGCGATGTGCGTTTCCTCCTCTCTGAGAGCGGCAGTGGCAAGGGGGCTGCCATGGTGACCGCAGTGGCCTACCGCCTGGCCGAGCAGCACCGGCAGATCGAGGAGACCCTGGCCCACTTCCGCCTCAGCAAGCAGACGCTGATGGAGGTGAAGAAGAGGATGCGGGCTGAGATGGAAATGGGGCTGAGGAAGGAGACGAACCCCAGGGCTACCGTCAAGATGCTGCCTTCTTTTGTCCGGAGCATCCCAGACGGGTCTGGTGAGGGCTTGTTGGGGCTGCCACACCTCTGTCCCAGGAACGGGGGGGGGGGGGGGGGGGGGGGGGGGGGGGGGGGGCTGGGTAGGGGACATTTTGGACTCTCCCAAGGATGCTTTTGCACTGGCTATGCCTAATTTGAGAGGATCAGGAATCTTACCCACCCAAATGTGTGTGTGTGTGTGTGTGTGTGTGTTGGAGCTTAGAGCAGTTCAGTTCTTCTAGTGGGACCTCCCAGGCTAGTGCTCTTTGTAAAACCACTTTAGATTGGAAAATGGGAGGCTTGGGCATAGTAGTGCACACCTGTAATCTCAGTACCCAGGAGGCTCTGGAGTTTGAGGCCAGCCTCAGCTACACGAGACAGACCAACAAAAGAATTCACACACTCCTCTTCTTTTAAGTAGTAGCAGCATATATGTGAGAGAGAAAGGCCTGGGGCCTTGCCCCCATGGGCAGGCTGGAGAAGCAACCTGCCCTTCACTGAGGCCAGTGCTATGGCAATTGAAGAGAATTTTTTGAGTGGATCCTCAGAATAATGGCTGTCTGGGTAGAAAACACATTTTACAGATATGTATTGTTTTACTATAAACCACTCTCAAATTTGGTGATATAAATCAATTACCATTCACTGGTGGCCACGGGCAATTCTACTCATCCAGGCCAGGCTGTGCTGGGGGTCAGCTGAGAGGCTAACCTCAGTCTTTTCTGGATACCCAGGGTCAGAGTGGCTGGCCACGGCTTTCCCACCAGTGGGTCACTGCACTTTACCACTGGGTAGAAGCAGGGTCTGGAAGCCAAGGCTAGGACTGACTCAGCTTTGCCCACACCACACCCCTTGGACCCCCAGAACCCCAAGAAGAGAAATAAGTTCCTCCATTTTTCAGTAGCAAGAACCATACCACCATTTTTAGATAGAATATGTTGATACAGATTATGCATTTTTTTTTTTTTTTATATGAGGGTCACTAAAGCCAAGATATTTTTGTCGGGCTTTTAAGTATCCCTGGTGAAGCTTGGTTGTTGTGGCTAACAGTTCCCTCCTGGGGCCACCCTTCTGATGCCAGCCCAGCTTGTATGTCAGAGTCTAGCCCTCCTTTGAGCCCATACTGTATATCACAGGGAACATTCATCGCAGCCCCTGAAATGCAGGACGGGGGCAGTTGGGCAGAGGGCGGGCGCGGTGTACTTCACCAAGATGCACTTAACCATTTGTGGCTTCCTCTGTGTGTTTTTCCTTGTGACAGAGAATGGCGACTTCTTGGCCTTGGATCTTGGAGGAACAAATTTCCGCGTCCTGCTGGTGAAGATCCGTAGTGGGAAAAAGAGAACGGTGGAAATGCATAACAAGATCTACTCCATCCCCGTGGAAGTCATGCAGGGCACTGGGGAAGAGGTAAGGTGGACCTGTGCAGGCATACCTGCATGCATACCTGTCGAGGGTATGCATCATACACCCGGCCAGTGGCATTGGTGGTCATGAGATAACCCACGGCTGCCACATGACACTGTAGCTGTGGCCCTGTGGCCCTAAAGCATCAGGTCTTTTGTGCTATGCTTTGCCCATGATACTCCAATGGCTGAGAAGTTCCTAGGGGCTGTGTGTGTGTGTGTGTGTGTGTGTGTGTACACGTGTGTGTGTACGTGTGTGTATGCGTGTGCGATTGCATGCTGAAAGTGGGAAACCTAAGCGAGCCTGGGTAACCCATTTCTCATCCCTTGCAGCTCTTCGACCACATCGTCTCCTGCATCTCCGACTTCCTGGACTACATGGGGATCAAAGGCCCCCGGATGCCTCTGGGCTTCACCTTCTCATTCCCCTGCAACCAGACAAGCCTGGATTGTGTGAGTCTCTTTCCTGAGGACAGCAGACCTCTGATAGTGCTGACTTCATGTGGTTAGGCTTTTCCCCAACCTCAGTGCTGTCCTCAGATGTCTGGGACAAGTCTTATATGTCTCATGGGTCACCTCCAGAACATCCTAAGACTCTACTCTTCTGTCATTATTGAAATGACCAGGCGGTGGTGGCACACACCTTTTATCCCAGCACTCGGGAGGCGGAGGCAGGCAGATCTCTGTGAGTTTGAGGCCAGCCTGGTCTACAGAGAGAGTTCCAGGACAGCCAGAGCTATCCTGTCTGGAAACCCCGCCCCCATCCTCCCAAAAAATATGAAGGCGCCATCTCCTCTGAGAACCTTTGGGACCTCCAGGCACAAAGAATCTTACCCTTTTCTGTTTTCCTGTGCCCTTGGCTGCCACCTTCATTATAGAACTTTGCACACTTCTGAAGTAGCTCACTATTCCTTCCTCTCCAAACCCACTTCTTCTTCTTCTTCTTCTACTTCTTTATCCCAGGCTGGCTTCCAACTTGGCTGTGTAGACCCCACTGCCTCCTCTCCTAGGTTCTGGCATCACAGGCATGTACCACCACACCTGATTTACATGTGCTGGGATGGAGCCCAGAGCTTTGCACATGCTAGGCAAGCACTCTGCCAGCTAGCCTCATCCTTAGGCCTTAGTGGCTTTCTTTGTGACTGGTTGTGTGGCAGGGATCTGGCTCTGTTAGAACAGACCTTTAGTAAATGCTTGCTCAAGCTATAGGATGAAAAGGATCCCAGATGGGGCGCAGGTGCCCACTGGGAACTAAGGTGTGGGCATGCATAAAGGTTACTGTTAGGTCTCCAACCCAAAACAAGTCTCACTCAGGACCTGTGGCTCCTCCCAGTACCTCTCACCCCACCCCCTATCCTAGACCTCTCCCTCCCAGGGGCTGGTTTTTCCTCCCTCCCAGGCTGATCTCTTATAACTCAGCCATTTTGGCTACACCAGGCTCCTCTTTTGGTTGGTGACTCCTCTCTTGCTTTCCCTCCCCGTCTCTCCTCTCGTGGTCCTGTTTAGTCTGCCGGCCATGTTCAGCCTGGACTCTCCCTCTGTGTGCTCTCTCCCTTACGTCGACAGTGAGAATCATCGCCATATTTTAGGAGTAGTCATGCCTCCTCCTTAGATTTCATTTTTTTCATTCAGTTACAGTTCTGTCCTTAGGGATCTTCTATGCCAGTGTGCCGGCACTCAGCCGCTGTGCAGGAAGGGCCAGGGGTGGGTAGACATACTGGGGGCAGATGGAGAGGACTGTGCAGAGTCACTGACGTAGGAACCAGCCTGTCTGGAAGATATGTAGGCAGCTGTGCATGGCACAAGTGGAGACATGGCCAGGGAAGGGCCTGAGGTGACGGTTTAAGGCCTGGTTGCCAGCACTGGGAGAGCTAAGTAAGGTGACCCGATGACCTGATGACGTCACCTTACTTAGCCCTCCCCATACTTCCAACCTGGCCTTTTTAGATATCAACAGTTGATTCTTTTTTTTTCAGGCAGGGTCTTATGTTGCCCAGGCTGGCCTCAGATTCCTTGTGTAGCCAAGAATGGCCTAGAATATCTCATCTTCTTGCTTCTCCCTCCCATGTGCTGGGATGATGAGTGTGTACCATACTACCTGGTTTGTGCGGCCCCTGGATCAAAGCCAGAGCTTTGTGCATGCTGGGCAAGCACGCTACCAGCTGAGCTACATCTCTAGCCCTAAACTTTTGTTTATTGAAGTTGTTTTTAGAGGTCTGATTTTTTTTTTTTTTAAAAACAAGGTCTCATTATGTAGCTCAGGCTAGCCTACAACTTGTGTACCCTAGACTGTTCCTGTTCCTGAACTAAAGGATGGTACTCTTTTTTTTTTTTTTTTTTTTTTTTGGTTTTTCCAGATAGAGTTTCTCTGTGTAGCTTTGGTGCCTGTCCTGGAACTCACTCTGTAGCCCAGGCTGGCCTCAAACTCACAGAGATCTGCCTGGCTCTGCCTCCCGAGTGCTGGGATTAAAGGCATGCACCACCACCGCCCAGCTAGGATGGTACTCTTGCTTCAGCTACTCAAGTACTGAGATTCCAGGTGTGAGCCACCACATCCAGCAGGATGACTCTCCTGTCATCTCCCATCCCTGTAGTACACGCGCGCACACACACACACACACACGCACACGCACACGCACACGCACACGCACAGGCACACACAGCTAGCAACATATAACTTCAGTCCTGTGAAGCCTAAGGGCTGCCTAAACAGTAATAGCGTTACTACAATTTTGCATTCCTTTCCTTAAGTGGTCAGCAACCAACCTTATCGGCCTGTTTCTCCGTCTGTGAAGTGGGGTTGGAGACATCTGGAAGACAGTGGGAGGGGGGCCAGCCACAGGGTCACACTTTATTATATTGAGTGTGATGTCACGGTATCTAGACACACAGGCTCAGTGGCCATTGCCTTGCCGGGGAGGGAGGGTACCAAATTCTCCTGACTATAGAAGGGTTTCTCACCCCAGCTCCCTTCTGTTTCTCTTGTTGTAGGGAATCTTGATCACTTGGACGAAGGGTTTCAAGGCCACTGACTGCGTGGGCCATGATGTAGTCACTTTACTGAAGGATGCAGTAAAAAGGAGAGAGGTACTTTAATATTTTAAAAATAACTTTGTGGGAGCTAGAGAGATGGCTCAGAGGTTAAGAGCGTTGGCAGCTCTTCCAGAGGTCCTGAGTTCAAGTCCCAGCATCCACATGGTGGCTCACTACCATCTGTAATGAGATCTGGTGCCCCCTTCTGGCCTTCAAGTATACATGCAGATAAAGCACTATATACATAAAATAAATAAATCTTTAAAAAAAATAAATAAAAATAACTTTCTGCCTTTGGAGGGGTTATAACAATCAAGCTTGCTTTTTTTGTGAAAAATTGGAACACCATGGAAGCATGTGATTTGGGGGTGGTAGAAGTGTCCCCCAGTCACTGCCAGCATTTAAGGGACACTTGTCAGTTTTGTATTGTTAAGGGATAATGCGGGGGCTGGAGAGATGGCTCAGAGGTTAAGAGCACTGGCTGTTCTTCCAGAGGTTCTGAGTTCAATACCCAGCAACCACATGGTGACTCACAACCATCTACAATGAGATCTGGTGCCCTCTTCTGGTGTGCAGGGATACATGCAGGCAGAACACTGTATGTATACATAATAAATAAAAGACGAAATGTGGAAAGGATGATATACTCAAAGAGAGGTAAAATCATGACTCATTGGAGTGGAAAGAGAGAAGCAGTTCCTAAGAGCCCATACCGCCAGGTAGTGCGGAGTTCCCAGGCATCACATGTGTACGGCCCTGTTGGCTGGAATAGATTTAGGCAGTATTGCTACTCTATGGCAAAGTACAGAACACAGTCAAGAAATCAACCCTGGTTCCCAGCAGCACCCAGGCCACAGCATGAACTAGCAGGATTCAAGGCAGGCCACGCTGGTCGTTCCGTAGATCCATGTCTCTTTCTTTTCAAGGAATTTGACCTGGATGTGGTGGCTATTGTCAACGACACTGTGGGCACCATGATGACCTGTGCATATGAGGAGCCCACTTGTGAAGTTGGACTCATCGTAGGTAAGTGTCCTGAAGGTGTCTCTTCTCCAGGAAGAGGACACTGGCATTTCCTGCTTTGTAGAGATCCGGCAGCTCCGTTCTTAGTGGGAGACAGTTGATCTCTTGGTCCCATTTATAGACCACCTCTAGAATTCTGTCTTGGAGCGAGGCTGCCGAGTTCCCTTCCCAGCATCCCATAATGCTGCTGCACATCAATTATGACTGGACTGTCAGTCAGTGAGCTCTCCAGGAAAGGGGCCACACACACACACACACACACACACACACACACACACACACACACACACAAAACCACACCTCCTATGTCCTGGGTAGATGGAGTGGGGTGTCTGGAACCAGCCTGTATGGAAGAACCCCAATGCTGCAGGCTCACAGGCAGAAAAGGAAGTAGAGACTGTCTCCACTCCTGACCATAGTCTAGCTGGGAAGGGCCAGTGTGCTCTTGGGTATCATTCACCCGTCAATAGCCACTGTCTAAATGGCCCCAGCCCTGGAGGTTGTTAACATTGTCAGAGGCCTGGGCCTCAAGAGCATTAAACTATATGGGTGTGTCCATGCAGTGTATGTACAGTGTGTGTGTGTGCAGGAATGCATGTACCACACTGTGTATGGAGGTCCAAGGACAACCTGGGATGTTGGTCCTCACCTCCACCTTGCTTGAGGTGGAGTCTCTTGTTTGCCTCTCACCTTGGGGCACGGGTGATAGGATGACAAGCACGCACTGTTTTTTTCAAGACAGGGTTTCTCTGTGTAGTTTTGGTGCCTGTCCTGGATCTCGCTCTGTAGCCCAGGCTGGCCTCCAACTCACAGAAGATTCGCCTGGCTCTGCCTCCCGAGTGCTGGGACGAAAGGCGTGCGCTGCCACCACCGCCCGGCTGAGAAAATCCTTTGACTAGCATCAGAGGTTGCTAGAAAAATGAAGTGCCCTGTCTATGTTCATTTCTGCTGGTAAAATAAAACAGACTAACAAAAGCAGCCTGGGGGAGAGAGGGTTTATTTTAGCTCCCAGTTCCAGGTTACAAGTAGGCAAGGACTTGAAACAACCTGTCACATCGGATCCACAGTCAAGAGTAGAGAGACGTGAATGCCCAGGCTCACTCACTTGCTTGTGCTCATCTTGATTTTTTTTCCCCCCTCTTACTCAGTTTAGGACCCCGCCTAGGGGATGGTGCTGCCCACAGTGGGCTAGGTCCTCCCACATCAACCCAACGCAGCCCATCCCTCGTTAAGCCTCGGCCGATGCTAGGTCGTGTCAAGTTGGCAATTAAAGTTAACCATTGCCCTCCCCCAAACACTTCCTTAGTCACCAGCATCGGCAAACACCACTTGGACAGCATGGAAGCGTCGCCCCTGTCTCAGGGTCACTTCCAGTGTCCGGAGGTTGGGATGGGGCTCGCAGGCTGCCCTCCATGCAGGAAAGCATTTGTATCGGTTATTAAGCCACTTCAAGCGACTGCTGTTAATCCAGAAAATCAGGAAGCACGTCCAGGTAGAAGGTGTTTGGCATCTGCCCCCAGACTTGTATTTATTCCTTCCTTTTGGCAAAGCTTTCTCCACCCAGCCCCGCCCAGCCTTGTGGGAACCTAGGTGGGAATCTGCAAAGCCAGAGTGACTCGGCATATTTTCTTCCAGGCTAAGGCCTCACCTTCCTGCCTGGGAGCTCAAGCCTGACCCGGTCAGCACAGCCCAATCAGAGGTTCTGGTGCCAGGGACCCAGCCAGCTCTTTATGCCACCATCAACAGAACTCTTTGCTCAGAATCCTCCTGGCCAAGAAGTGCAGTTTACATATTTTGGCTTTCTTTGCATCTCCTACTTCCTGGGTTCCTTTTTCCTCCTCTTATATATACTTTGGGTAGAAGGGACCCGAGAAAACAGTAACAATTCAGTGGTACTATCAGGAGCATCTGGGAATTCTGCTTAAGTGTTTCAGAGGGGTTATGCCTTTGGCCTGGCCATCGAGGAGGAGGTGGTGGTGGTGGTGATGGTGGTGGTGGTGGTGGTGGTGGGGTGCATACCTTTGGATTGAGTGAAAGCTGACCCACATCCCTGAGGGCTTTGCTGTGGTGTGTGCAGTTTATAGGCGGCAGCATCTCCAGGAACCTCGCTCCAGAACCCTTGAGTCAAAATTGAATACAAATGAGGACATAACCACTCCAGGGTATGGTTGAGAAGGTGTTTATTGTAGATAGGAGGGAGGGTACAGCCAGAGGCATCTGGAAGAGTCCAGACTGAACAGGGCCAGCAGAATAGATCGGGCCATGAGGGGAGAGAGGTGCGGGGGAGAGAGCAGGAGAGGGAGAGAGGAAGGAAGCCAAGAGGACCAAGAGAGCATGTGGGAACCAAGAGGCCAAGAGAGGAACCAGGAACCGAGAGAGCATGGGGGCCATGGCTAAGTTATAAAGGAAAGTGAAGCTGAGGGAAGGGAGCCCAGGTTTAGGGTAGGGGGTGGGGTGAGAAGTGCGGGAGGATCCACCGGGACTGGGTGAGACTCCTCTCAGGTTGGAGACCTAACCAAGATCTTCATGAACATGGGCTCGGGAGTGTCTGTAGGAAGGTCTCCTTGACGGAGTTTCCAGTCTATACAGTAAGACAAGTCCAGTGACCGTCAGCCTGAGGCCGTGACATCAGAACTATTGGGAGGGCTAGCAGCGTGGACCTCAGTGGGTAAAGGCACCTGCGGCCAAGCCTGATGGCCTGAGTCTGATGCCCAGGTTCACTCCGCAGTAGAACAAGGGAACTGACTCCTGCAAGTTGAACTCTGATTCCACACGTGGGCGGGCCCACACACGTGTCTACACATATGGTTCAAAGAATAAATAACTCGAACCGTTGTGAAGGTGGACCTCCCAGTTTATCTACATAGCCCCTTGTGGGCTAAAACTGCAGCTTGTGCTCCTTCCCTGGGTCCTGGGCGGGGGGATACCAAGCAAGATATGCTCTAGGGTGTTCCAGAATGGAAACCGGAGGCTGCTGAGCCCTGGGAACCGTACAGCACCCAGGGGAATGCTCCTTGTCTCAGAAGCAGCCGATAGTCTCTGAGGGCTGGGTCCCAGCTGCTTTTTACATCAACTTGACACAAGCTAGAGTCATCAGAGAGGAGGGGGCCCAACTGAGAAAAATGTCCCCATAAGATCGGGCTGTAGGCAAGCCTGTAGGGCATTTTCTTAATTAGTGGTTGATGGGGGAGGGCCCAGCTTAGGACTGGGGATGTATGTAACTCATTTGGCAGAGTGCAAGTAACCCAGCCTCCTTCCTCCAAGGCTCAGGGGTCAATATTGAAAGAGGGGGCAGAAGATTGTAAGAGCCAGAGAGGTGGCTGGCTGCTGTGGAAAAAAGTCTTTGGCACACATGAACTCCGCGGCTCTGGCTGCGGGCCTAAGACCTGTGCAGGATCGAGGCAGATCAAGGCAGACAAAAATCCCAGCATGGATGGAGTGGATGTCCCGAATTCCACCCCTAGCTGAGGAGCTGTTGGCAATCAATGGCTGCCGGGGGAGGGAGAGTCCATTTTCTTCAGAGATGTGGACCCTGAGAGGTCCCCAGTGCTCTAGAGATGGTCCCACCCCACTGCACGTGCAGCTAGCACTAACTGGGTTCAGTGGGTATTTTTTGGGGGGAGGCACATGGAGTTGGGAGGTAAAAGTGGTGGAGGATGGGGGGAAATTGCTGGGGAGTGAATGGAGCATACTTAATTTAAATATATGCCTATATGAAAATTAATTTAAAGTGTTTAAAATAACCCTTACCTTACATCAGAGCTCCAGGGGCCAAGACCCCCCTTGACTGTGGGCCCCATCTTTGACCTCTGCCCTGTCTTTTAGGGACCGGCAGCAATGCCTGCTACATGGAGGAGATGAGGAACATCGAGCTGGTGGAGGGGAACCAGGGGCAGATGTGCATCAACATGGAGTGGGGTGCCTTTGGCGACAATGGGTGTCTGGATGACATCAGGACAGACTATGACCGAGTGGTGGACGAATATTCCCTAAACTCCGGGAAACAAAGGTAATCGGCCTTCAGAGCAGGATCCACACCTGGGGTGATGCGGTGGGCCGGCGATCTGTTGCGGCAGGGAAGTGTTTCCGGTCGGGGGGAGTCCGTGCAGGGGGCTCGGAACACCATCCCTCTGGTATTATGCTAACCTTGGGTGTTTGGTTCTTGGCATGGTGCAGGACTGTTCCCAGGAGTGGTGGTGACAGTGTACACACTGACTGCCTCATTTGCCCGTAGGGGTCTCAAGGAGTTGAGTTAGCCAAGCCCTGCTTCTCTAGGGTGGATGAGGTAGATGCCCTTCCCACTGCAAGCTCCTGCGCCCCCTAGTGGCTGCCAGAAGCTTTGCAGCTTAGGTCACCGATTGGTTCTGAAATGGCAGCCAGTGTCCACCCAGAAATGAGGTGACTGCCCCAGTCTCCCAAGAATCAGGATCTTCAATGCCACAGCCAGGACAAACTGGTTCAAGTCATGTCCTTTGGAAAATAAAGTGGCTCCAGTTTAACCTTGAAAGTTTGTGGCCCACCCAACTTTCCTCCACTTTGTGCTCAATCAGTATTTTGGTTGATGGCAAAACCATCCAAAAAAAACAAAGAAATGAAAGATCTTTCTCTTGTCCATTTAAGACTCAGCTGTTTGCTTAGTCTGAGTCTGTCCTGAACACTTTGCTGAGAGCCTTGTACTGTGACCTCACCCAGACACCTGTCTTCTCAGGGCCATCAGTCACTGTGGTGGTAACAGAGGACGGGACCCTGTGTGTGTGCTATAAAAGGATGGGTGTGCGAGAGCCTGGAAGAGGCAGGAGTCAGTCTGGGCGGGCCTCTGGGGTGTGTCACTGGGAGGAAGGCTGCCTAGCAGAGTTTTCTGTGACTGCTGAAGGCATCGGTGTGCGGAGGGTGGAGGGCTTTCTAGAACCCCCTCTTGCCTGCGTGGGGACACACAGGGCAGGCATGTGACCGTGGCCATACCCTGGACGGGCAGTCGTAGATCCGAGTGACTGTTGGACCTCGGGTGAGTGGCCTCCCTGCTCAGCAGCCTCTCTTCTCGATTCAGGTTTGAAAAGATGATCAGTGGGATGTACCTGGGTGAGATCGTCCGTAACATCCTGATCGACTTCACCAAGAAAGGCTTCCTCTTCCGGGGACAAATCTCTGAGCCACTCAAGACGAGAGGCATCTTTGAGACCAAGTTTCTCTCTCAGATTGAGAGGTGAGTAGGGAGGGGTTTGGGCCGCCGTTTTGCTTTCTCCGTCTGTGAATCTGACCTACTCTAGGTGCCTCGTGTAAGCAGACTCCTACAATAGGGATGCGTTTGTGTAGAGTACTTCACTTAGCATAGTCTTTTTAAGGTTCATTCTTGTAACCTCCCCAAGTTTCGGCCTGAGTAATAGTCCATTGGGTGTACCTATCACGTTCTGTTTTCCCACTGCTACTGTCTGGGAACTTGGGGTGTTTCCCCAACCTTTTGGCTCTTCTGAATGATGCTGGGAACATGGGGGAGTACATATCCCTTTGCCCCCCGCTTTTGTGTCTCTGATGAATGTACTCACAAGTGGACTTGCTGGACCCCATTTAAAAATGGTAATTCCATTTTAAATTTCCCGAGGAACCACTGTATTGATTTCCAAAATGGCCACTCTGTTTGGTAACTTCGAGTGAGGATGCTGGGGATGTCAGTTTCTGACGGCCTAATAGCAAAGGAAGGAAAAAAAAAACAAAAAACAAAAAACCAGAGATACATAGGTTCTATAGGATCTTTTTTAAAATCAGTATTTAGCCGGGCGGTGGTGGCGCACGCCTTTAATCCCAGCACTCGGGAGGCAGAGCCAGGCGGATCTCTGTGAGTTCGAGGCCAGCCTGGGCTACAGAGTAAGTTCCAGGAGAGGCGCAAAGCTACACAGAGAAACCCTGTCTCGAAAAACCAAAAAAAAAAAAAAAAAAAAAAAAAAAAATCAGTATTTAAGGAAAACGTTTGCTTTGTATGTGACAAGAGGCAGAAGCATGGCATGGAGTGGGGGTGGAGCCCAGGGGGCAGATCCCACAGTTCTGACCTTGAGACCTGCCCTGCCCTTGACTGTGCTTCAGCGAGTGACTCGGTTTCCCCGGGCCTCATTCCCTCCTCTTTAAAATGGGAATGATGAAAGCTGGGTGTAGTGGTGCAGGCCGGAGGGTCAGGAGTTCGAGACCAAACTCAGCTACCTAGGAAATTCAGGGCTAGATCTTGTCTCCAATGCAGACAAAAGTAGTGATTGTATACTTGCAGTGCATGTAAAATACACATCCTGAAAGTCCTTGGGAAAGGCTGGCCATTCTTCTTTCAGTTTACTGGAAGAAAAGCAAGCCTTGGGCTGCACTCGGTGGTTGATATGACCATTAAGCGAGGGATGAAAGGCCATCCTTGCTAATAGAAGAATGCAAATTGTACCACGGTGTGGGTAAGAAATGGTAGACTGTGTCTGTGAGTGTTCTGTGCCGCAACGTGCACGTGGTGGCCCAAGGACCTCGGTGGTTTCTCCCCTCCTTCCACCTTGCTTTTGAGGGGGTGACTCTCTTGTTTCAGGCTGGTCTCCCGTCTTGCTGTGGGGAGCTTCTGGCTTTTAACATGGGCTCTGGAGTCAATTTTAGTTCATTGGGCTTTCATAACCAGTGCTTCGCTCATTGGGCCATTAGGAAATTGATCTTTTCTAGAAGGGTGTTGTAGTGATGTAGGAAGATGATGGGTTTTTAGGTCATCCTGGGCAACACTCTTAAGACTGTCAATAACCTTTTCTCTAAGGTATTGGCCCTCTGGGTAGTTTTTCATTTTTTTCTAGGAGTTCCATATTCTGTAGTTTAGCATATAATACCTTTGGACTCATTAAAAAGTTAAAGTTCTATTATTATTATTATTATTATTGTTTATTAATGTATACAGTGCACTGTCTGCATGTATCCCTGCAGGCCAGAAGAGAGAGGGCACAAGATCTCATTACAGATGGTGTGAGCCACCATGTGGTTGCTGGGAATTGAACTCAGGACCTTTGGAAGAGCAGCCAGTGCTCTAAAAAGTTAAAGTTCCTAATGCTGAGACCCTTTAGTATAGTTTCTTATGTTGTGGTAACCCCCACCCACCAACCATAAAATTATTTTCATTGCTACTTCATGACTAATTTTGCTACTGTTATAAATGGTAATATAAATATCTAATTTTTCAGTGGTCTTAGGCAACCCCTGTGAAAGGGGCATTCAACTACCAAGGGAATTGTGATCCACAGGTTGAGAACCACTAGTTTATTTATTTATTTTTTTTGGTTTTTCGAGACAGGGTTTCTCTGTGTAGCTTAGCGCCTTTCCTGGAACTCACTTTGTAGACCAGCTGGCCTCGAACTCACAGAGATCCGCCTGCCTCTGCCTCCCGAGTGCTGGGATTAAAGGCGTGCGCCACCACCGCCCGGCGAGAACCACTAGTTTAAAGAGCTGAGCTAGAGGGATGATTCCTTGGTTAAGAGCATGTACTGCTTTTGCAGAGGACCCGGCACACAAATCAGGTTACTCACAGTCACCTGTCACTCCAGTTCCAGGGAATCTGTCACCTGTGGCTGCCACAGGCACCTGCAGCTGGTGTACACACCTAGCCACACAATTTTAAGCTGAGGATGGGAGATACAGCTCAGATTTAAGAGGGCTTGCGGCCCTTCTAGAGGTCCACGGTGTGTGATTCTCAGCATGCACAATTAGGCAGGTCACAACATCCTGGAGCTCCAGATCCAAGGGATCCGACACCCTCTTCTGGCCTCTGTGGACACTAGCAAACCATGGTATACACATAGACACACCTATGTGGTGATATATTGTGTACTCTAATAAAATTTGCTTGCGTATTAGAGAGACATAGGAACAAGCCACATCTAGCCTCTAGGACTCCTCAGCCTGAAAAAGCTTCTAGCTGAAAGGGATGCTTCTTCTGAAAAGCCTTTAGTTTCTATCTCCTCACATCTTATATACCTTTCTCTACCCAGCCATCACTTCCTGAAATTAAAGGTGTGTGCCACCACTGCCTGGCTCTGTTTTCTCTCCTAGACTGAGTCAATCTAATGTAGTCCAGGGTGGCTTTGAACTCACAGAGATCCAGACGGATCTCTGCCTCCCGAGTGCTAGGATTAAAGGTGTGTGCCACCATTCCCTGGCATCTATGTTTAATCTAGTGGCTTGTTGGTCTGTCTGTCCACTTTTTATTAGGATACACAATATATCACCACACACAATTTTAATTTAAAAAAGCGAACTAGAAGGCGACTAAACACCCATGATGTCATTTACAGACCAGCAGAGTGCTTTGGACCAGTCCTTTGCCCCAAGGGTTCTAGGAGCATGCTCCATTCAACTCCCTGGCTTTTGTCCTCCACAGTGACCGGTTAGCGCTGCTCCAGGTCCGGGCCATCCTTCAGCAACTGGGTCTGAACAGCACGTGTGACGACAGTATCTTGGTCAAGACCGTGTGTGGGGTGGTGTCCAAGAGGGCCGCTCAGCTCTGTGGTGCTGGCATGGCGGCCGTGGTGGAGAAGATTAGAGAGAACAGAGGACTAGACCATCTAAATGTGACGGTGGGAGTGGACGGGACGCTCTACAAACTTCATCCACAGTGAGTCTGGCTGCTTCCTGGGGGGGATGGGAAGGGCCTCCTGGCTGGTGAGTTCCTTGAGGGTGACCGGTGTCAACACAATTCTTCATGGAGATACAATAGCCTGAGACAATAGCCCCAGTGGGAGTTTGGGGAGCCAGGGAAGGGCTTCACGGGGCCAGCTTACACTGGCATAGTGTGGCATTCTCCCTGCTTCTCTTGGGCTGTGTGGTGTGTGTGTGTGATGGACACACACATTGGCCTGCTGTGCTTGGTAAGAGGACATGCAGAACCAGGGAGGTGACCTGTTGTCTAGTTCACCTGTAGGACTGGGCAGCAGTCAGTGTAGGCCAGGGCTCTGAGGCAGCGGGGAGCCTTTTTGTTAGAGTAGTGAACCTGTTCTTGAACCCACTGTGTGTTCCAAAGCTGGGGTCTTTAAGGAACAGTGACCATGTCTGAACAGGAGCCCTCTGTATTAGTCAGGGTTCTATGGAGGAGCAGAAGTGATGGAATGACTCTGTTAAAAATAGGTTTATCAGAGTGGCTTAAAGGCTGTGGGGTAATGCTAGTCCAACAATGGCCGCCTCCCAACAGAAAGGCCACTCGTCTGCTAGTTATTCATTCCAGGAGGCCTGGACGTCTTACGCTGGTCCTCAGCCCACGTCGCAATCCAGTGAAGGAATGCGTCCGTAACTGGATAGACGAACTTGCCAGTGCGGGCAAACAGGCACAAAGCAGCTTCCCTCCTCCTCCATGTCCTTTGACGTGGGCTGTCCCCGGAAGGTGTGGCCCACATTTAGGGTGGGTCATTTCCCCACCCCCCCACCCCCAAATAATCCAATCAAGAAAAACCTCACAGGTGTGCCCAGATGCTTGGATTTTAGTCAATTCTAGATGTAGTTGACCACCAAGATCAACAATCACTTGAGAGCATCCTAGCTAAACCGGGCTACAGTCTGACCCCCACGCCCTCAAGACATTGCCCACTTAACCTTGTTCCGTGGCGTGTCCAGTGGGGATGTGGCTCAGTTGGCCTAGCATGCGAGAAACTCTGGATTCTATTCCCAGCACAACATAAAGAGGCGGCTGAGGGATTTGAGGCTGCCCTGGACTGCCACACCCCCATGGACTCCGGCTCCTGTATCAAGTATGGACACCTGCTAGGCAAGCATCACAGAGGCCTTAGCCTGCCTCTATCATGTTTAGCCCAGAATGCTAGCCCCTAGAGTCACTTCCTGTCATCACCTTCCTTTAGGAGGGCTGCTCACTCTCCTGCTGTAGGTACTGGGTGCCGACTCTGGAGAGGAGCTTGGAGCCCTGAGTCGCACGTGTCCAAGCTTCAGAAACCCTCTTTCTTGGTTTTTCAGGTCCCCTAGGACCACCAAGATCTGGGGTGGGGCCCGGGTTACGAGTTGCTGAGTCTGAGATCTGTATGTATACATCCCTCCCTGTGGAGGACCCTGATAACACACCTGACCTCTAAGCCTGCGTCTCTCCCAACCCCTCTCGTCCATACTTGTTTTTTTGTTACAGGATTTTTTGGTTGTATATTTTTGAGACAGTTTCATGGCGCTCAGGCTGGCCTAAACCTTAATTATATATGTGAGGGTGACCTTGAATTTATGATCTTCCGCGCCTCCACCTCACCACTGCTGGCAGTCAGATTCCCGGCCTGGGCCTCCCGAATGCTAGACAGGCCCCCCCCACCGACGGAGTGGACGCGGGTTGGCAGCCCACCCACAGCTGACCACCTCCCCCCCCCCCCCCCCCCCCGATCTTTCCTCTTTTCAGCTTCTCCAGAGTCATGCACCAAACCGTGAAGGAGCTGTCACCAAAGTGTACCGTGTCCTTCCTCCTGTCCGAAGACGGCAGCGGCAAAGGGGCCGCCCTTATCACAGCTGTGGGCGTGCGGCTCAGAGGAGACACTATGAACGCCTAAAAGAGCCAGGGTTCCTCCCAGCCCCCAGCCCGCCACCCCTTCCAGCACTCCCCTCTAGAACCGATGACCCGCACTCCACCCAGCAAGCCTCGCTGGGAGAACCCAGCACCGGAGCCCACGACGACCATGACGACGACGACGCAGCAGAGGGAGGAAGGGGGCCGCAGGAACAGAGCGTAACGTAAGACTACCAACACCGGAGTGCGTGCCGTTGATGATGTCTCGCCCGGACCCCCTCAACCCCCCACCCCGCCACTCTGCATGATTCAAGTTCGACCTGGCCCATGCTTTTTTGCCCATGCGGTGAACGTAGCGGCAACCAAGTCAACGGCAGACGTCCAGCCGGGAAAGAGTCTCCCTCTCTTGGACCCACCTTCTGGGCCTTCCAAGGCCCATCCTTGGAGTCACCTCTTCCCCCTCCCCCCCGTGTGAAGTGTTTTATCACCAGCAGACACTGCCGGACTCCTGCCCACAGGGGCATGGCCTGAAGGGCGAGTGTGGACGGGATGCTGCTGTCTCCTTCCTCTCCCCAGCACCCGCTGCAAGCCTTGCCATCCCGTCTGGATGTATCGATGCCACTGAACTGTGTGTCCGTGGAACCAGTCCTAGCCACATTATGACAGTCTTGCATTTTGTTTGTCTGGTGGTGGTGGTGGTGGTGGTGGTGGGTGGTGTAGGTGGGCAAGTCCTGTGGGGGAAAACATCGTGTCTCCATCTTGGTAGAAGGAACCAACCCACAAAACAACGCCATCACTGGAATCTCCCATCGCTTTAGTGAGCCTTGTCGTGACGACTAGTAAACTTTGTACTGATTCAAAGGCCCCGAGTGGTGTTTCCTGTCGGGGAGGGGAATCTTAGGCTGTGGTGACAGTCAGACTGGGTTATGGACCCCTGGGTTGTGGAGAAAGTTCAAAAGCGGCACAGGGTGTGCCTGTAATCCCAGCACTTGGGAGGCGGAGGGCAGGGGTTCAAGGGCCCTTCTCCGACAGTTTCAGGCCAACCTATATCCTCCATGACATCTCAGAGGAATCACTAAAAAAGTCTCCAGCCCTGGGAGTTAGTTCAGGACAAGGGCTTCTGTACTTCAAAATGTCACTGAAGTCGTCTCAGGCCTGATCTCCTAGTACCTGCCATGTAGTCCCCACACCCTAAGCCCCAACCTCATAGACTAGGAAAAAAAAAGTGTCTGTCCTCTTGTTGGGGACAGTGAACTTGACCTTCAGGGGCTGACCGGATTTAGTGAGGAAGCCAATGCAGCTTTTGTAACAAGGGTGTTGGGTAATTGTCCGGGGTTTTCAGGGTCAACCCCTTAGACAAAGAATTGGATGTCCAGAAAAAATAGAAGAACAAGCCATGGAGAAGAAACGCAATCACTTTGAAAGAGGAGGGTCCCTAAGACTGGGAGATTCTCTCAACTGACTCTGAGTTGGCTGTTCCATGGGGCTTCCGGGCCCTCCCTCCTCCCAATGGGTTCCGTTGAGATACCCACCCCCATGCCTTCCCCTGGTAATGCTTTCATCTCAGGGGGCCTGCCTTTGCTTTCCCTGCCTCCCCATGTTCCGCTAAGTCCCATTCAGTTCCCCCTTCTCAGAGACTGACAGACGCCTAGGAGGGGGGGCAGAGTTTAGGGGAAGTTGGTCTGTGTGAGAGAGAGGCGGAGAACACTTCCATGAGGCAGAACTCTGGGGCTGGTTCAGGGGAGCTGCAGTAAAAATTCCAGTGAGCAATGCATTCATGTGCAGGACCCCCCTGTAGGAGCCAAGGGGCTAAAGGGGGAAGAGACGTCAGAGGCCATTACAGTAAGATGAATATAGCCCAGCCTAGGGTGACCGTTCCCACTTGGTGATAGTGAAGAGAACAGACAGGATCCGACTCATGAGACTCAGGGCCCCCAGTGGCTCACAGGAGTTGCTTTTGGAGAGGTTCTTATAAGGTGGGGGACTGTGTGAAGTGCCCACCTCTTGGCCCTGGTATGATGGATCCAGAGTCCATGCCAGGCACCTTAGCTTCCGTAGGCATAGACAAAATGACAGAAGGGCACTCCCGATTGGGATTTAGAGAGGGTGTCTCTTTGATTGCCTTGACCAGAGAGCTTGGTCCCTGGGACACCGTGGGGAAGGTTCCATGCCCTCATTCTGAAAGGATTTGCTGGGACTTGGTGACGTGGATGGTCTGTGTCACCAGATGGTTAGTTTTAGGCTCCTATAGCAAATACCTTGAAAGGAAAAGTTTGTCATACAAGGCTTCCAAGGGGACCAATCCCAGTTGTCCTTAAGCCATCAGGGCTAACTAAGGGTAGCAACTTCGTTCAAGGAGTTTTGAGTTTCTTGCGTTAGTTTAGTAAGGTGCCTTTTTAGTAACACATTTGCTCTTTGTATCTTTCTAGAAGGCTGAGGGATGCCAGGCACAGTGAAGGATTAAACTATCCCCAAGGCCCAGGAAAGTCCCTGGGAAGAATCTGCCTTGGAGGCTGGTCCACTGTATATATAGCCTTAGGTACCCTAAACCCAGGAATTATTTCACTTGGAAATAATTACCGCCTATGTCTTTCCCCACTTTACAAGGGAAGGCTTCAACCCAGCCAGTGCAAGTGTTCACCCACACAAGGAAAAAGATAGGGCTTTGGTCCCCATGGCAGTGAGTAAAACCTGTCATCAGTCCGCTCCTGGGTACGTGGCTTGCCTCTGTGGACCAGCGGGGGACAGATCAGGTTGGTCTTCTGGCGTGTCTCATACCTGAACCATTGAGTGATAACATCTGTTAGTCCCCTTCCCCATAAACATTTTTCCTAGCTAGTTGGATGGAGTTTTCCCTGGATGATAAAATTTTAGAGATTTTAGAATCCCCCCACTGTAAGGAACCAGGGCAGCCATACATGACTATTAGGGACAATCACCATCCACAATGGTCCCAGGATGCAGCCATCTTTGGAGCCTCCTCCATTTAAGGGATGGCATAGCATGTCCTCATAGGGATGGGAGGTAGAGAGTCTTCCCATAACAGTGTGTCTTAGCTACTATTGCTGTGGTGAAAAATCCATGACCAAAAGTAACTTGGGAGGAAAGGGATTATTTGGCTTATATGTCTGAATCACAAGCCATTGAGGGAAGCCAAGGCAGGTACTCCAACCAGGGCAGAGGGAGGACAGGAGCTGATGCACAAGCCACAGAGGTATGCTGCTGACTGGCTTGCTCCTCATGGCTTTGCTCAGCCAGCTTTCTTATAGAACTTAGGACCACCAGCTCAGGGATGGTACCCACCCATCTGGGCTGGGCCCTCCCCCATCAATCACTAAAAAAGAACATGCTCCACAGACTTGCCTACAGCTAGATCTTCGGGAGGTATTTTCTCAGTTGAGGCCCCCTCCCTCTCAGGTGACTCTAGCTTGTGTCAAGTTGACATTAAAACTAGCCGGCTCAGAGGAACACTCCTTCTGGTCTCAGTGCAGCTTCTTTAGGAGCGGTGCTGACTGGGTGGCTACCCAAGGTCGTTGAGAGTCCTCTCCATTTTGATGTCTCTGGCAGTGCATGGCTGCCCCATGGGAGCGGAAATTGCCTCACATAGACGGGGGTCCCAGATGTTACCAATCCTCGCTCCTTCCAGATAGCTGCATTAGCGTGCAGAACCAGACACGCACATTTGGAGTCAGCAAAGATAGTCACCCCTTGGTTTCCCTCCGCAGCTCAAAGCCTGAGCCAAGAGTCTCATCTTATTTCAACAGAGTACCCTCCCTCACGAACTCCATCCTGAAGAGATGAACTGCCATCAGTCAAACAGTCTTTAAAAATCAGGTCTAGCAGTGTAGGGTTCCAGCAAGACCTCTTGGCATGAATGCTCAAGACTTGTCCAGGAGGCAAGTAGCAGAGTTGAGACAAGGACCAGACCTTAATGGTCACTCTGGTCCCTCCATTAGGAGCCTGACACCCATAAGTGTCTTTTAAAATTATTTCCCCAAGGTCACGGAGAGACTACACCGTGAGGGGTTTTTCTAGGGCTCATTTATGGGCCTCTGGGATCAGGAGCCTCACAACTACAATTCCCCTTTGGCATGCTGGCCATCTCTGTCACTGAGTCTAACTCCTTGCTAAGGTCCCCTACTGGTGGTGGCGTGGGTCCTGTTGATTGGGTCAGAACGCCCAGGTCAATTCCCTTTCAGCAACACACAGTGAAAATTGAGGCTGAGTGGGCAGGCCCAGAGTAGGGGGCCCTGGTAAGTACATCCTTGAGTGTTAGAAGGAATGATTAGCCTCAGGTTCCAATGTTAGGGGGGCTGAGTGATAGTTTTTGGGGCCTCACTGATGGGATAGAGAGGCCTGGCTAGTTCTGAAAATCCAGGAATCCATTCCTCCAGGCCGTGTAGTAAAGACTGTGTAGACATTGGCAGGCCTGTTCAGATTGGTCAGGATTTGCTGTGAAACTACCTTAAATCTTATTTATTTATTTGTTTCGTTTTGTTTGAGACCGGTCTCACTATGTAGCTCTGTCTGTCTGGCCTGAAACCCACTATATAGACCAGGATGGCCTTGAACTCACAGAGCTCCATCTGACTCTGCCTCCCAAGTGGGATTAAAGGCAGGTGCTGCCACACCTGGCTCTCCCTAATTCTTTTTTGAGACGTTTAAGCTCTGCTAATGAACAAGCTCTGTGAATCTACTTGGGTCCTAAATCTCCCACCCTCTCCTGCAAGGGAAACATCTCTAGAGCCCCTGGGGATGGTTGGGGAGCCTGAGGTCTGACTCCCCAAGGCCCTCCAGCATATGGTGGGCAGGGTTCTGGGGAAGCCAAATCGGAACCCCAGACAGTCAAAGTAGCAAGACCTAGCTGACAATTGGAAGCCAATTCTGAGTGATTGCAAAGGTATAAGAAGAGCCGAACATAAGGGACCTTAGATCATTCTCTCTCTTGTAGAACTGGTCCAGCTGAAAATATTATGTGCCAGGCAATAATGGCACACACCTTTAAGCCCAGCACTCAGGAGGCAGAGGGCAGGTGGATCTCTGTGAGTTCGAGGCCCAGCCTGGGCTACAGAGTGAGTTCCAGGAAAGGTACAAAGCTACAGAGAGAAACCCTTTCTTGAAACAAACAAAATGAGAGAGAGAGAGAGAGAGAGAGAGAGAGAGAGAGAGAGAGAGAGAGAGAGAGAGAGAGAGAGCTGTATTATAATTAGAGTCCTCTGAGTGACCTTATTTTTTTTTTTTTTTGATCACCCAAGGGATAGTACTTCCTAATAAAGAAAATCAGGGTTTGAGTGTCTAAGGGTCCAAGTCTGCCCAGCGTTTGGGAAGGCAGCTGAGTGGCAATTTTGGAAGACTTATGGAGTCAGTCCCATTTGCAATGAGATGGAGTCGGGAAGAACGAGGAGTCTTGGGTCAGGATAGCCCTTTCCTCCCTCGCCCCACTTGGATGAGTAGGTAGCCTCTGGGTCAGTGTTGTCTAGTCTGTCCAGGGGA